TTTTATTAAAAATACATTAAAATATATAGGCAAAAGATAATGATAATAATTTAATTTAAAATTTATATTGTGTAATTAAGTTTATAAGTAATAATAATTATTTAATATTTATGATAGAAGTAATTAATGGATTAATCTAAACTTTCGGCAGATGGCTATAATGCCATAGCTGTAAACTTTATATAATATACTTATTATAAATTTCTGTGTAATATAACAAATGAATTAAAATAAAGCTAATACTATTACTTATAATAATTTAGATACAATTTGACAACAGAACTAATAATAAATCGTTTTTTTTTTATTTAATTGAATTTATATTTAGTAAAATGCTCACTTCTATAAAGTAATAATTACTTCGTAAAAATGACATCTGTGAAGTTTCCTTCCATTTTACATAAAAATAAATTATAAAAAAATAATTTAAAGCCTTGCTTATGGTATATGCTAGTATATCCTTTTATATCTACTTCCGTCATATTTATTACTACCAATATAAATTGCATTCCTACACTCTGGGCTTTTTATTGCTGCAACTGTTGTTACCACTGCTGTTTACTGTTAATGTTGCTGCTGTGTTACTCGTAGCATTGTAGGTGCTGTCGTTCTTATTTGTTGTTGATCCTTTACAACATTTCCTAACTATAAGTGCTTATTTATAACTAAAGGAAGAATTTTAGATTTGTTATAAATTCTACTCTCGCCTGCCAGTTGTATGGATTCATATATACTCGTATATATATAGATTTTTACAGTGTATAAATTTGTTTATTTTAATAAAATTTATATGTCGATTTCTATTTTATTTATGCATTTTGTATTTTGTAGAATAATTTTTTTTATACAATTTGCTATTTATATTTATATATATAAACAACTTATTGCAATTTCCTTTTTCGAATTTTATTTACTTGCAGCAATGAATCACTTGGACAAGATACGTTTATGGGGCAAAGCGATACGTGTTATGGCCAGCAAACATCAGGCAGTTCAGCTACCTAAAGAAGGGCAACCCGATGCTGGACTTACACGTGACTATTCCCAGAATCCATTACATAGATTTAAGAAGCCTGGCAGCAAAAACTATCAAAATATTTATTCACCATCGGCAACATTGCATTTGAGTAACATTCCGTAAGTACAAATATAATATATATCTAAAAAATATATTTACTCTAACTGAACTGTACTGACTACCTGCAGTCAGGGAAATATATAAAATTATGCAGTTCCTTTTTATTTTATATAAAATATTTAAATATATTTGTATAACAATGTATATATAATTCTACAAAAACACAAGTTTTAATAGTTTTTTGTGCAATAAAAAATGCCAATGGCTATTTGGAGTTGACTTATGGTTTTAAGTCACCACCAAAGTAGTGTCACTTTTAATCACTTAAATGTCAGATAGTTTGCCAATAACTTGACTATCTCTACTTAAAGTTTCCAAACTGTTTTTGTGCTCTTGTTTGTCTTTTCTTCATAGTCACAAAAGTCATCACATTAGAATGAAGCTGTAGTTTCAAAGCAATAATTCTTTGTGAAGTTTGCTACTTATTTATTTTTCTGAACGGTGTGAATTATAAATGAATTAAGTTTCAAAAGTTGTTAATAAACCAACAATATACCAATTCATAGCGCAACTCGTAGATACTTGTATATAAAATTTATGAAGCACGAAAGTATTATGCCATTTTTAAAGTACCAAAAAATTAAATCAATATTTTTTAATAATAATTTTTAAATCCCTATGATTTTTTCGTACCTTTTTCATAACAACATTTTCATTAAAAATTCTGGACTTCATTTTCTAAAATAATTAAATCAGCCATTAAGTATATTCTCGGTACTAAGTAGATTTCCTTTTTTTGCTAATATACTTTTTATTAATATTTAGTACAATTACAAATATGTAACAAATTAATATTCAGTTTAGAAGATTTTAATTGAATTAAATTCCTCTAAACTCTGATAGTTAACTATTTTGCACTATCCACTTAAATCATTTAGGCATTAGGCATTTTATAGAAAGAAACTCCTGCAGTTTACAACACAACATTGTTGTTGTTGCAAATTTGGGTATAGTTTTATTTTTTGTACATAGTTTACACGTGGAATAAAGTGCTTTTCAACTTAATTTTTATTAAATTCCACCAGATGTCAATAGTTTAAGTTTATATTAGCTCTACCCATAGACTCATTGCTCTGCTTTAATTATACCTATGTAGATGTATAAATAACCAAGATACTTGTCTTAAGAGTTATAAATAATAAAGATATATAAAAGGATATGTAAATAAAAATATGTAAATATACAAAAGAGTCAAAAAAAAATATTACATATACATTTCTCTATTGAGAAGTATGAGAAGTATACAAAAGTATTTTTATCATTACCACCCTCCATAAAAAAATGAAAATATATTAGACAGATTCGTATAGCAAAGAGAAAAAAGCACAAAAATTTTATTTAATTTATTGAAATATATAATAATTTATTAAAACTCTCGGCAAGAAAAAATTACCATGAAAAAATAATCTTTATAACGTTTTTACTAATTAAGAAGCTAAGTAAAATATTAAACTAATAAAAAATTTAAGTTATGATTTTTAAATTCAAAATTTAAATTCATATTTATTAATAATATAATTACTATAATATTATTATAATTAAAAATATATATAAAAATATTATTAAAATATCAACTTTTCCTTTCCATTCCATATCTTCCATTTCATCTTTTCCATTGTATCTCTTCCATTCTATCTCTTCTATTCCAGCTCTTCCATTTTTTCCAAACTATTTCATTTATTCCATACCATTTAATATAATCCAATCTATTTCTCCATTTTTTTTTTATTTCTACTTCACACTTTCTATTTCATTTCTCCCATTTTTTCCCTTCAATGTTCATCTAAGTTCGTCTAATATTTCTTAAAATAAAACTGCGCACCGCAAAAACATTTGTAAAAACATTTGGATAACCAATACGAGCACAACCCAAACTCCATGAGACAATACCACACAACTGATTATTATATACTAAAGGTCCACCAGAATCGCCATTGCAAATACCCTTCTGATTATTATTACCAGCACAAAACATTGAATTGGTTACCGGTCCTTGATTTTTATAATCTCTGACACACACATCAGTTCGTATGACCTGAACATACATAGTGTGTATTTGCCATGACATACGACGGGATGATTCACGTCTCTTACCCCAACCAGATACATGTACTACATCACCAGCAGTTACATTTGCACTGCATAAACCAATGGTACTAATGTTAGATCCGGTAAGCGCTCTATTTAGCAATAAAACCGCCACATCATTGTGCAGTGAGGTACTATTATAATTTGATGGTAGATAGGCACGGATCACTTGACGTACGTTCGAACGCTGGAAACGATATGTAGCACCTCCAACCACATTAATGCTACGTGGTCGCTTATTATAAACACAATGCGCAGCTGTGACCACATGTCGGGGTGAAACCAATGAGCCGCCACATATGAGATTACCACGTTCTCGTAAATTTACCAAGTATGGTACTCTAGTAACTGTTGCTGGTACTCCACCAACAATTTTTTCATCGATAGCTCTGATGTGAGGCAATAATAAGCACAGTACCAATAATGGTATAAGCGCAACTATATTTGAAGTTCTGATATATTTTACTTCGGACATGTTTTAAAGAAGACTAACTTAGTTGCTCCGTGGGTTGGTGCTTAAAAATCAAATTCTTTTACCACATGAGCTTTATTTTTTACTATTTAATTTAGTAATTTCAAAACAATTGTGTAAATAATTAATTTAGTAAATTCTTTTTACTAATAAATTTTTGTTATTTTTAACTTCGAATCAAATTTTATTACATGATGGAATCTAAGCAAATATAAATATTTGCTAATAAAAACTGTTTATGTTGAAATCATTTCATGTTATTTTATTTATTGTTTAGTATATAAAATATGCTAAAGTAAAACTTTCTTTAAATATTTTTAATTTTACTTAATTTTTTTTTATTCTAATTTTATTATAATTAATTTTTTTTTATTTTTTATTTAAGTTTCGTTTACTTATGTCAATATTATTTTCTTACTTGTCAAAATTATAATTTCATCTTCAACTATATAGGGTTAATATTCTTACATACATAAGTACACAAGGTAGAAAATCAGCGGTGTCAAAACTCTAATTATAACAGAACACATACATATTACTGTAATATATTAAATGTACTCGTTTTTATGCTTAACCATTTGTTAATAAGGTTGGCATCCGAGGCGTAATACCTAGAACCCTCTCATTACACTAGTATAAAAGCCATACAGTTTCTTAAAAAAAAGGAAAGGTTAAAATATATAAGATGGTGTAGAATTTAATATATCATAAGGTATTCAAATGATAGTAAATAAAAAATACTGCTCATCGATATTCTCGAGACTCGCAGATTAAACATCTTATTACCCATAACCCGGTTAAACTATACTCTTTCTCGATACACTAATTAATGACTCTTAGTGTAATTCAATTGTATAGAATACAGTAGTCAGTAATTTTAGCTTAATTGTGCATAGGATTTAAATAATCCATAAGGGCACAATAGACCCGATGGTCGCAATGCCACATCCTCTCTTAAAAATAAATAAGTAATCTATATAACATTTCTGACTAGTAGTAGTTCAATCGTGCATTAATTATAAGACGGCGCGTGCTAACAAACATTAAGAAACGTACCCTTAATGTAAAAAGTAAATATCTTATCACCAGTGAAAACTGCTATCCGATTGACGCTTGTTTGTATGACAGCTGTGTTAAATATAATAGTATACTACTATACTAGATTCTATGTGTCCTATTAATGGCATTAACTGGATGGCTGCAGCCCGCAACCTTACAGTTTTTGAAAGTCCATTTTACTTTAATTTGCGGAAACCGACAACAGATCTGAGGCTTCTACATACCTTTTACTGACAGCAACTTTTTTCTGATAGCTGACAAATTGTGTATATGAGCCAAAACAAAATTTCTCATGATAGAACTTTTTGTACATACAAGTAGTTCATAAACCAGTGGGTATCATCACGCTAGAAGTAAAATAAATACGGAGTACTGCCTGCCAGCGGAGAACTATATAGGGACCGTGGCTCATCATTTGTACTATTAACCGAGCACAATAGAAGAAAAGTCACTCCGCTCTTCAAATCTTAGCTGTTGAGCGCATCCTAACATTAGACGCGGATAGGAACTCCCGATCCAGTCAATTTCTTTTGACTGAAATCTAGGCTAGATTGCGACAGAGAATGTGACTAGAGGTCTCTTCTCTCATACTACAAATAAACAACTCTATTTTGTGATGAAGATATGTTAAATAACTGACTCAATTGTTTTGGTAAACGGAAGCTACTATTATTTCTTTGAAATGTTACTCAAATATATATGTCATTTGATAATGTTATGAAATATTTTTATTACAAATTAAAATTTTTATCTAGAATTTTTTCTTTTACTCATCTTCTCTTAAGTGAAGAGAATAATTTGATAAATTTTTATTAAAGAAAAAATATTCTTTTCATTATATTAAAATTAAATTAAAAATAAAAACAGAAGATCATAATGGTCACCAGTGCAAAAATTCTTTACCGTAGTCGTTTCAATTAACCATATTTTATATAGAAAATGATATCGCTCAACTACTACAAGATTTAATCACAACATAACCTCTGTTAAATGGCTTTCAGTATTTTCTAAAAGGAAGTGTTTGCATTTAAGCTATCTCTGTTATATAAAGAAATTATTGATGTAAGAACAACACAGTGGGGAGGATGCATCGAAAATTGTTTATTCCTTTCATTTTTATTATAATTCTTACAAGAAGTCTTTGCACAGCACAGCACAGCAAGGATATTTTGTTTATAATTTTTATTGTAATTGCAATTACCTTCCTCATAATATTAACAATGAAGCAGAGTAAGCAGACTGCTCTAACCTGCAACTTACAACGAAAGGATGTTCCTTCTGACTGCATACTAGAATATTTTCGTAATAAAAATTCACCAGGAGTGCGAAAGAAAAGCGCTACCAGAAAGTGCTATATTGTCGTTATTGTAGCACAAAAATAATTTAATAGATTTTTTGCCACCTGTAGTCAGCAATATTAAGTTTTTCTCTATGTATCTTACTGTGTGATAAAGTGTGACAAAAACTCTAGCAACAGGACTAAGTAATTTTATATTTTTCATTTTTTTAAAAATTATTTGCTTAAACATTATTAAGTATGCTAGAAAATTTAGTAGGAATACATTTGTCAAAGGATAGAGAAACTACTTTTAATTATTTTTTTTATTGAAAACATATTTAGAAACGTTTCCCCTTTTTCTACTAGTAATATGCAAATAAAAAAATGTATTTATGATAGCTGCAACATTGTCTCAACCTTTTTGCGATACTCTATGGGAATACATAACATTATCTCCTTTTAAGTATCTCCTGAATTACTTAATATGAAGATCCGTTTCAAATGGTAGTATCGTATTGTAAACAATAGACTTAACTTAAAAGTAAAACGGATCTTAATTTCTGGTAGCAACTTCTGCATAGTACAGCAATTGCACATTATCCCATTAGTATTCCAGTAAGGTTTGCTTCCCGAATTGCAGACTTCGTGAACCGAAAAGAACTATCGGTTTTCTTTTATTTCATTTATGTCATATGGTCAAAGCGTCTTTACATTTCAAGCGATTTATCCGTGAGTCCATCAGACATCACAGCAATGCTAAATTCATTTATATCCCTAAACAGTTCACATACCGAGCTTTGTGATTAATCCAGGAGTCCATGAATTCGTTAGCACTCTGGTAAGCGATTTATCCGTGAGTCCATCAGACATCACAGCAATGCTAAATTCATTTATATCCCTAAACAGTTCCCATACCGAGCTTTGTGATTAATCCAGAAGCCCATTAATTCGTTGGTACTCTGGTAAGGTTTGCTACATTAATTGCAGGTTTACTAAAACCCAGAAGAACTATCCTTCGTCATCTACTTGATCTATGCCATATGGTCAAAGCCTCCATGAATTTTTCCATGAGTCCATAAGGCAGCACCGCAATAGTAAATTTATTTATCTCCCTAAACAGTTAAAACCCTCTCTTGGGTATGCCTTTTGAGGTAGACTTCCCTTCCCTTTGAAGTGTGTTTTAAGCTGAATCTTTGTATTCTTAGACAAAATAATTTATTGTGTTGTAACCCTAATCAGTGGTCGGAATAAAAGTCTTGTTTTGGCTGTATATAAAAAATCATGAAATGCTGATATGATCAGAATTGGTTATGGTTTGGGTTTTTGTGTCTAAACACGGAACGCATAATGTTATTAACACGAATCTGACCACAAAGCCTGATTAAAACGGGATTATTAATGAAATTTCCCAGATACGCACCGAGTTGTGTTCTAGTAAAAATTCTAGTCATAATAAAATATATCATTTTTGACTTTAAATATTTATTTTCTTTAAAATAGAAAGAAACAAAAATTTTATTTTAATTAATATAAGACATTAAATTAACTTATAACGAATATTATTGCTATTTATCTCTTTAAATTTAGTAATAGCTTCTTTTTTATATTTGAATTTAGTTAATTTTTTTTTATGTTTATATCATAGCTTTTTTATTCAACCATAAAAATAAAAATATTATATATATGTACTATATTATAATATATCGTATTTTAATTCTTTTATTAAACCATAACAATTTTATTATGAATAAGGAAGAAATTTATGTATATGTAATATATATATACATACTTAATGTTTACTATTTTTAATTATGAAAGAGAGAGATTAAAAAAAACATATATAAAGTATTGACTTAGTGTTATTTCATTTTTTTATAATAAAATATAATATAAATTATTTTCTATTTAATTTTAGCTCCTCCTGCACTGAGGAAGACATCAAGGACGCTTTTACCTCTAACAACTTTGAAGTTAAAGCTTTCAAATTTTTCCCGTAAGTAGAAAATTTATTTAAAATAATTTTTTTGTTTTGAAAATAATTAATTTTAATGCATTTTTTTTTTTTTGAAAATAATTAATTTTAATGCATTTTTTTTTTTGTAAACCTTTTTATGCACTCTACTACACTCAGCAGTAAGGATCGCAAAATGGCTTTACTGCAGTTGGCATCGGTTGAGGAAGCTGTTTTGGCTCTCATCAAAATGCACAATCATCAGTTATCGGAGTCGAATCACTTACGTGTTTCGTTCTCGAAATCTAATATTTAAGTTGAACGGTTTCTTAACCACTAAAAACAAAAAAAAAACAACTATAACAAAAATAACAACAAAAACAACAACAAAAGAACAAAAAAATATCAACTTTAATAAGCAGAACTGATCGAGATGCACAACAATTTCCACCCAAAATCAGAAATCAGCAAAAAAAATATTCAAAGTCAACAACAACAACAACAACAATTAGCAGAGAAATTCAATAGAAAAACTAATACATATATATAATAAATAGATTATAAAATAAACAGAAGAATTTTAAACTAGAAGAACAAATAAAATTAAATTAATTTGACAGTCTCAGAAAAAAATAGTAAAAATAGTAATTTCAGTAAATCAGAAATCCATAAAAAACCAATTTAAAAATTTCAAATTAATTTATTTTCTGATAAATTTTTTTTGGTGTTTAATAAATTCCAATTTCAATTTTTTTTAAAATTTTTCAAATTGAATATAAAAAATGTTTAACTAAACTTTTTCAATATAACTGTTTTAAGCGTTTGTTGTGAAAAATTAAAAAATAAAATTATATATATGTATGTATGAATAATATATATATATATAAGCAGTGTAACAATCAAATAAGCTTATTTGTAATTTATAATTATTTTTAAAACAATAAATCAGAGTAGATAAAATAATCTCACATGAACATACATATTTTAGATAACTGTGTTTCGTTTTTAAAAAGCATTATTAAAAAAATAAATTCGTTAATAAAATTAATTTTAAATAAAATTATTCAATATGTATTTGCTGATAAATGTTATGTATACACATATAAAATTAGTTATTAAGTAAAGTATACATATATTACATAACAGCTGATAAGATAAAGATAAAATAATGAAAGATAAAAAATTAATTAATTATCTAAGTGTATGCAAATTTAATTTAAAATTCGTAGAAATTGTATTTGTATTAAATAATTTGAAAAATAATTTAAAATTAAATTAATTTTCAAATAAAACTGCGTGATTTGTTTATTAATTTATAAAGGGAATCTTAATCATTAATATATATGTATATGTGTATCAATGTATATGTATATATATGCACTTAAATGTGTTGTTTTGTGTTTGTAAATGTTATAAATATATTATTAATTAAAAACAATGAAAAGGAAAACAGGAATTTTTTGATTAATCAAACAAACACAAAATTAATATTAAGATTAGAAAAAATATGAAAATAAAAATAAAAATAAAAATGATAAAAACAAAATTTAACTTAAACAATTTTTGCGATTTTAAATTTTAATTATAAGAAAAACAAAAAATATTTTAAATATATAAGACAAAAAGGAAATGTTGAGCGTTTTAAAAAAAATTACCAAAAAAAAATATATATTGATTTTTTGAACATTTTTACAGTAAATATAAAAAAAAAGAAATACAAATTTGAATTTAAAAATTTAATACAAAATTATTTATATTTAAACTTTTTAAACTAGGCAAAAAGCGCAAAGAACAAAATATATATATATATGAAAATTTTTTTTGAACGTAAATTAATTGTTTATTATTAATTTAAGTAAAATAAATATAAAAAAGAATACTAGAAAAGTGATGCAAATATTAGCAAAAAATAAAAACGTGTACGAAAGCAACATTGAAAAAAATAAAAATTCTCAAGCTGGAATTAATTTTTTGGCAGAATATTGTAATATATAAATTAAAAAAAAAAACGAACAAAATAAATGACAAACAATTAAAGAAAGGAAGTGTGTTAAAGTAAACTAAAAAAATTAAAAAATAAAAATTATTTGACAGAAAATATTCTATATTATAGTAAATACTATATACATATAAAATCATTTTAAAAGCTTAAAATATAATATAAAAAACATACTAAGGGAATTTTAATATATCAAATAGTATATAATTACCAAACATATGTTTTCTTTACTTTAAAAAAGTTTTTTTTGTTAAAAATTTGACTTATGTTAAACAAATTTTTTAATTAAAGGAAATAAAACAATTGCAAGGAATTATATATATTTGAGTTATATATTACAATTTTTTAAATAAATATTTTGTCAGAAAATATATTTCCAAAAGCTAAAGTCAGTTTTATACTTTCTTGAATTTTTTTATATTATTTTATAATTAATTTAATTAAGCACTTAAGCAGTGTTAAATTTTTCTAAATATTTTAAATTCTTTTTTTCTTCTAAATTTTATGTAATTATTTCAATTTTTTTTGTCAATTTAATTTACATATATTCTTAAACTAAACTGACATAAATTTTCACAAATGCCCACAGGACTGCTATTGAATTTCTTCAAAAGAAAGCAAAAATGAACTAATGACAAATCAAATATATAAACAAAAAATAAAAAAAATTAATTAAAAAAATTATACATATTAATTAATTTTAAAATGAAATATTTATAAAAAAAAATATGAATAGTATTTTTTTTTTTTTTTCAAAACAAAAACTTAATAACACAAATATTGAAATAATAGTGCAGTTTACTCAACAAATTTTGCGATTACCAATTAAACATAATTGAAAAATAAAATCATGTTTATCCCAACGATAAAAAATATTGCAAACTTGAAAAAAAAATACACAAAACTTATACATCAGTAAATAAATAAATATACTACAAAAGAATATATAAATATATATATATACAAAATATTAACACTGTATATTTAAAATAAAAAGGGAGTGTGTTAAAAACATTGAAAGTATTATATTGAAATTTATAAAATTATATGAAATAATCATTATAAATAAAAATAAAAAATATAAAGTAAATAAAATAAAATTTTTTGAAATTAAAGAATTTACCACTACTAAATGTGAAAGTTATTGATTAAAAAAAAAAAGCAAAAATCACTTATTTTACAAAAAAAAAAATACATTTTTTGTGCAACAAAATAAATCAAAACAAACTTATAAATTATAAATTTTAAATTGGGTAACATCCACAAATATTTTAGTTGTATATGCAAATTTTCAAAGCATTTTTAAACAGTATGTGTTAGTTTAAATATTAAAAACAAAAATATAAATAAATAAGACTTAAGACCTATAAGATTAATTAAAGATCTTTTAGTTATACATGTACATGAAACATAATGCATTGAAGAGAAATATTCATTTTAAATATATGCAGTAATTTAGTTTATAATATATGTGATTACATATATTAATGTAAACATATATATTATAAAAAAATTTTAACTAATTTATGACTTATTAACGTATAAATATATAAAATTAATGCTGAAGAATATATAAAGTAAATATATTTTAAATAAAATGTTTGATTGTCAAGTGACGTACAATAAAATATTTATGTTATTTTTTATTTAATTTTTTTTTAATTTAATTAACAATTTTAATTTAATTTAATGAAAAAATATTTTTAATTTAATAAAAGCTTTTTTTTTAATTTAATCAAATTTTTTATTTTATATTTATTTAAATAATTTTTTTAAATAATAATTTATTTGAGCAGGCTAATGTGATAATTTAAATACAAATTAAAAACTATAATTTATTATTTATATATAGACAAATTATATTTTACTAAAATATAATTTTATAATTTTATTAAAATATAATTTGTTTAAATGTAAATATATACATATATATATACAAATATATACAAAAATATGTTATTAAACTAATTTTTTATAAAACTTATTAAAATATCCTTTTTAAATATTTTATTAAAGCATTTTTTAAAAATCGTTTGGAAATATTTTTAAATATTTTATAATAATATATTTTAAAATATTTATTAAAACATTTTTTTTTAATATAAATATATTAAAATATCTTCTTTAAATATTTTATTGAAATATTTTTTAAATTTTTTAAATATATTTTAAATATTAGAAAAATTATTAAAATACTATGTTTAAATATTTTTTTAAAACATTTTTTAAATGTATTGAAATATTTTGAAATATTTTTTTTAAAAATCTTTTTGAAATACCTGTTTAAATATTTTATTGTAATATTTTTTTAAATATTTTATTGAAATATTTTTTTAAATATTTTATTTAAATATTTTTTTAAATATTTCATTTAAATATTTTTTTAAATATTGTATTATAATATTTTTTTAAATATTTTATTTAAATATTTTTTTAAAATTTTATTGAAATAATATTTTAAGTTAGTATTTCTTTTAAATTAGTTACTTCAGTTATGTCCAATACATCAGAACGTCAACAATACTAATTCTCACATTATAATACAGCTATCAGTAAAGAAATTCAACTAGTGATGACTGTACTTATAAAATTAAAGAATGAACTGAAGTCAGACTAGCGAAAATAACTAGTAAAATTTAGCTGACTAAAATATATTCTTTTAATTAAAAAAAAGAAAACAGCCACATATAGCTAATTAAAATCAAAATTGCAATTTATTTGCAATACACATTAGCATGTCTAAAAGGATTATTTATACGTTATAAAGGAATAAAAATGCATAAACATATTTAATTATATGAATTACATAAAACAGGGTTGTTACATTAAAACAAATCAAGAAACTTATTAAAGAACAATCGTTAAACGTAAATCATTTTAAGTATAAAAGAAAAGAAGAAAAAAAACATTATTATAAATTATGAAAGTATTTAATATTTAGTGTGTAGCAAAGTAACTAAGTTAGTAATATTATAATATAAATATAATAAATGAAATTATATAGTTGGTAAATGTTAAAGTGTAGTTGAAATATTTTAGGTGTAAAATCGCAAGTTAATTTAAATATTGAATATTGCATATGACGAAAGTAAGAAATTAACAGTAGAAAGAAGAGGTATGTTTTGCGGTAACTGCTTCTTTTATATATATAAAAGATATGAAGAGAGAAAATAAGCAAAATAAAATAATGAAAATAAAAATAACTAAATTTAAATAAAATAAAAGTTTCGTTTGGAGAGACACAAATCAAATAAAAGATAAATTTAAAGCATTGCAAAAAGCTTATATAAAATAAAACTTATGCAGAAAAACTAAGTCGAAAATTGTTCAATTATAGTTTGTGCTTGTTTTTATTTAACAAATCAAATAAAAATATAATAAACAAATTGTTTTTTATAAGCTTTAAGAAAAGATTTTAATAAGCAAATGAAGAAAAAATTGTTGGAAATGTTGTTGCATTGATTTTTGTTATACTAAAAAAAATATATATATATATAAATTATATAGAAATTAAATTTAGCTAAAATTTTTGTT